CCCACATTACAACTTCTTGGGAAGCTTCAGTTAGTGAGTTTCTGGAAATGACAAGTCAGTGTTATGCTCTCCCAGGAAGTCTTTCACGGCGGGACACAGCACAGAAGTGGCATGCTTCCTGGGCCGATTTTAAACCTTGTTGATTTAAAAGTCAAGACACTCTGTTCTTCAATGCCTCAATTTTTAAATAAATTTTTCAATAAGGTTCATTAATACTTATGATCTCATAAGGATCTCACCAAGGACTATAATTCTAACTTTTAATTGGTCTCCCCAATGGTCAACTTTGTGAATTTATGCCTGTGCAGTATAATCAGAATGGTAGTAGAAAGGTTTATCTCCAGCCTCCAAAAATACTTTCCCCTGTCATTGCCTCAAATATTGACACAGAGAGGCATATACTTAGTATATGACTTTGGTATTCAAAATTCAACTGCTTCACAATTTTGCCTCTGATCGGCCTTGATTTCTGGTAGGCAAGATATTATTATCATCACTGCCCAACAGCTACAAAGATAATGAGTTGGGCTATAGTCTGAAGTCATTCTTTCTTGATATTTGTTCATCTCTAGTGTGCATGTCACGCTGTTGACTTGGCAAAGATCACACAGTCTTGTTAGGATAGAGCTGTTTTGATTCCACAAATTAAACTGGGGAGCTGACAATACATTGGCAGAGAGATTCTACAATAGATCTCTGTCTCCATAAACAGGACAGTGCCCACTGAGCCTCATCACAGCTGTTGGCCTCTCTCCTTCAATTCCTGCAGTTTGCAATGAGAGTCAACTCCTGAGATCTTGGATGGCTTCCACAAGGCAGTTTTATGAACCTTGTAGGCTATTTTCCAAACCGGAAAACGCTTAAATATGAAAGGCACATATTTCAAAGGTTTCTGCTGGTTCTCAAGGGAAATTCCTCTTTCCGCTTCCTTTACTGTATTACCCCCCTCTGGCATTTCAAAAGCAAAAACTTGGACCCTCTTTGTTACCTCCCCCTCACAATTTCTGTGCCTTCCATCTTTTGCTGCCAGCACTTAAGCAATTTTAGCTTGCCTAGAAGCAATGCCTTGAGTTTCACCATTTAAAAGGCTCTGCAAGGGAATTTAATCCATTCCACTTTACTGAGAGTGAGAAGGATCTCAGCAAGATCTTCACAAATGAGCCAACCAACAACCATTCCTTGACACCTTTTCAGGCCTTACCCACCCATAGCTTATACTGAGGCTGAAAAGCAGGGGCAGGGCAGAATTTTGGCATTCCTAAGCTTCAAAATTCAATAGATGCCAGTGATCTTGGTGATTATCTACTTCATCCAATTTTCTCATTTAGAAGCTGAGGTAGAGGGTAATTCCAAAGCCATACACCTGAAAAATAACAAAGCTAAGGTTTGGACTAGACATTGCTCTGAACTTTACTGCAATGCTCTTTTAAGTAAAAATCAGAGAAGCCTGAGATAATTACATAAAATATTACAGCAGTTCCAAGTTAGATAGCAGTGGTATAGTGGGAGAACAAAAAGAAACAGAAAACATGATTAACTGCAGTACAGACACTTCTCAGATTCATTCCTTTTCTTAGGAAATGGCACAAAATTAAGTACTGGACTAGAATCCCTCTAGCCCATAGGTGTTTGGCTGTCACCTTTTTTGCCTTGAATTTTCACAGTTTGTGTTTTCTCACTTGGTTGTGGAGGCCAAAAGCAATGATAGTCTGCCCAAGTAGAACAGCCTGGGGTAATCCAAGAATCACAGAATAACTTTGACCACTTCCTAACCCACAGGACTCTGTACTGACCCCAACCACAGAAGCCCCTTCAACAGTCTTGGTGCTCGGAGCCACTGGCAGGAGAACACACCCTGGGCAAAGGTGCACGTGCATTATTAGTCTGGGAATTAATGTTCTAGTGCTGGTCTTCTCCTAACAGTACATTCTAACCACACCAGTGCCTAAATCAGCTGTTGTAAGGGCTTCTCGGTACCCATTCCAGGCCCTGGCACACAACAGGGTAGGAAAATAGGAATCTGATAAGCCCAGATCTTGTCTTTGGAACTGTACCCCTCAGCCTCGATACAAAAACAGCACCAGGTGCATGCAATCTGTAATCAGAGCCCTATTAAACTGCTCCCCAAATGCCAGAATTATCTCGATTTTCACAGGCAGCTGCACAAGGTCCTGTTGGGTAACTGAAGAGTTTTTACAGGTTCATGTGAGATTCCCAAGTAGCAACAAGCTAGAATGCCATGATGAGGATCCAGCATCTGGTGACTGTGAAATCCCCATAGGAGTGAGATGAGTGGGTACATGGGCATCCCTAGTCTATGTCTTGGGTTGTCAGTGAATAATCTACAAATCCAGGTCAGACTCAAGGTTCATATGCAAATGCAGACTCTGCCTCATTCAATCAGCTCTTCTGTCATTCAGTGTCAACCTCTTTTTAATCAGCATGTCCCAGAAAATAAATAACTTCTGACCTAACTAGCTGTTTGATAGGGAAGAAAAAATCTATCAATCGAATACAACTTTAATATGAACCCAATTAACACTAGTACAAACTTAATGGGATCACACATTAACAAATTACAAAGACATTCAAGCCCATGTGATCAAGATCATCATCCAGAAGCTGCAGGCCAGGACACAGTAGTTACTTCTACCCTGCCCCCACCTGATGGACAGGTGGATGGTGAAAAGAAGTCTACATTTGTTATCAGAAGATCTAGGTCTGAGCCTGTCTTTGCCTTTACTCCATAGGCAAAATTCTACATTTCTGAGACCTGTATCTTCATCTTTAAAATGCGATAGGTCTACCCACTTCACAGGACTGCTGTGAAGGTGGTAGAGGAGGTTATTGGAAATCAGCTCCCTAGGAGTGACTCCTCCCACTTGAAGTGACCAGGATTGAAAGGCAAATGAGCATGTCAGGATATCAGCTTACATATGCAAAAGCACGTCCATTACAATGTATTTTACAAAGCTTTTCCTCAAATGGCCTCTTATTTCATTGTGCAAACCTATGAGGGAATTCAAAGAGGTATATCTTTTCTCCTAGACCGATGAGGGGAAGGAAACGGGTCTTCCTTTTGCAATCCTATCCTAGTTCCACTGCTCTGCAGCATATGGGACTGCCATCCTAATCAAGAAAATAATAATGGGAGTCAACTGAATGAAGTCTATCCACTGTGAATGAAGTACTGCTACCCTAAGGAGATGCAGAGTGCTACAGACATTGAAAAAAAAAAAAAAACCCAAAGAGAAAGAAGGAAGAAAAGAAGAAAAAACACATGCACAAAGAGTAAAACAAAGTTGGGTTATAAATACACTCATTCAACATGGCATCCCTGTCCTAGACATTAAGGATTGTGAGAACCAGATCAATAATGTTCTTTCTTGCATGGAACATACATGCTAGTGGGGAAGAACAACTGACAAGTCAGCAAACCAATGCAGCGTTCGAGAAGAAACCTATTTAGACAGATCCTGTGAGTTCAGCAAAGGGATAGAGTAATGGGATGAAGAATAAAAGTCACTATCACCCACCACTAATCATCTGGTAGGGAAATTAATAGTGGTGACCCAAGCTCTCCAAATCTTTTAAGATGATAGTCACCTGGGTGTGATGAATATTTGTGTTTCTAGGATATAGTAACAGTAGTAACAAAGAAATTTCATCTAGAACAGTACCTGTCCTTTTTCATTTAACATTTATGAGTAATGACTATGACCTGGGTTGGAGATCACAAACAAGTTAGATATATTCAAGGAAAAAAATCATCTAGTCAAGGAGAAAGGCAAGGAAAACAGGAAGCTAACTGACTAAGTTAAGAATGTGAAGTTGCTGCTCCCCAGCACAAGAGGCATTTTTAATCCTTCAGAGACTGTGATTACTTGAAAAGTAATGAAAGAATTTAATTAGGCTGCCTGCATGGATTATGCAGGTAGATCCACTTCAATGGGAAGCCATAAGGGATGCTTTAGGAAGCTGTTTGTGGGTGTGAGTAACCTAATGTACCTTCCACCTGTGATCTGCACAATGGATGTGCCCAGAGAGACTGACCCCACCTTAAGGTAGAATGCACAGGATACTCTACTAGGAACCATTTCTGCACAGAATCTACATACTTAAGGAACTGCAAAGGAAAAAAAAAGCAATTGGTTATAGGAAAAAGGTGTCTGAGGCAAACAGGAAATCTCTGAATGTCCATCTGGTACTAAGCATCGTTCTGTGTGTGTTGGGATGGAAAGGGAGAGAGCAGTACTTTAAAAATTCTCATCCCTTAGCGTGCTCAAGGCCACTGGTTCAATTCCCAGCACCAAACAACACTCATTCCCACCTCTAGAGAGATGGTCACTGAGGTTAGAAGTGAATAGTTTTGCAAAAATAGTTTTCTTTACCCATGTATGTATTACACATATAATTAGTGGTAACAGATTTCCAGTTTCTCTTGAAAATTGGAAGAACCTGGCAACACTAGACCCGTACCCTTTACTGTCTCTACAATCTCAAATCTCAAGTCCCACTACTTCCTGTCATACTGTTCAAAATGAGGCTTCATGCTAGTTGACCTTCATCATCCTGGTTGCTGTGTTCTTCTAGTAACTGGTTTATCACAAGTATAACTAAGGATTTAGAACCTGGCATAAATACTAAATTAATTAGCATGATTGGGAAAGTGCTAAGAATACATTTTCAGAAAGTAGGTCAGAGATTTTTTTAAAAATTAAAAGAAGAAGAAAGAAAACAAAGGTTCTGCCCAATGGGAGAGGAAAGCAGGATTGAGGAATCAACAATCCCTCAGTTGGAGGAAGTGAGCAGCAAAACAAACAAAAACAACTACTCTTATCAAATAATCTCAAAAAGTTTGTTTTTGTTTTTGATTTCTTTTTTCTTTTTTTTTTTTGCAGTACTGTGGCTTGAATTCAGGGCCTTCACCTGTAGCCACTCTGCCAGCCCTTTTTTGTGATAAGTTTTTTTCGAGATAGGATCTTTTGAACTATTTGCCCAGGCTGGCTTTGAACTATGATCCTCCTGATCTTTGCTTCCTGAGTAGCAAGGATTACAGGTATGAGCCACCAGTGCTCAGCCCTTGTAAGATTTATGAACAGTTTATATGCTCTTCCAACATGCCCACTGCTCTGATAAAGTACCACAGACCAGGCTCTGGAGAGAGAACATACAAAGATGGTGAAATGTGTGTCAGGGAGAGTAGTGTGGTATGCCAGTAGTCTCAAACACTGTCAACTGGTATAAACTTCTGCAGGACACCTCAGTTTATGTACAAACTCTAAAAATAGGCACAACTATTAAAACTGCACATCTTACTCATAGGTACTTTTTCCAATTCAAATCACTAAACAAACAGGCAAAGATGTATATTCAAGGATTTGCATCTACTTGATTGGTATTCTTAAAAATCCCAGCCTGGTAGTTTTCTTCCACTGCTGTACTAGTTAATCTCTTTATATAGAATCAGTGTTCCACAGAAACTCGAAAGCTAGACCTTATCTATTTATGTTTTCATGCTTTCAGTCAAGCATTTTGTTGAGTATCTACTGTGTTCCAAATCTGTGCTAGGAATCTCAGAGATAAATAAGACAAGTACTGCCCATGGAGAGGCACAGCAGGGCAGAAAATGTCAGGAGACTATGCCAGATGGAGCGCTGAACCTGTAAAGCAGTTCTGTGTAACTGGTGCTGTTTCAAGGATATCAAATCAGGGCTTAACTATGGAAGATCTGTGGGTTTTTTAGCTTTTTGTTTTTAAATTTTATATCTAGCCTTTCTCTCAAAGTCCTATGCAGCAAACTTCTTAGATTTCTGTGTTCACCATAAAAACACTTGGAGCGTAATATTATATAATGCCAAGGTATTATTTCCTAGACAATCACCATGTGTTTCACTCCCTATATGAAATACCTAAGACAACCCATTATTACACCATTGGTCTGCTAACTCTGTGTATCTTCCTGTAACACAGAAATTCGCCTGGGGTTCTAGATGGCTGTACCAATGTGGTATTTGATGGAATGGCTTTGCATAAGGCAACCCAGCTAGAACTGGGAAGCCCCAAAGAGAAAGAGTACAGGGTTACAAATCAGGAACTTTTATTAGCCAAATTAAAATTAATAAAACGAGATAAGGTAGATAAATAACATATCATTAAAAAGTACCCATGCCTTCATTAGTTTGAAGTTACTTGGTATTAGTTGGTGACATGGGTGTTTCTTGGCCACAGTGTTCCTTCACGCTGGGTTATTTACAAAATTGCTATGCTAATTTCCACTATTGCAGTTCTGCTCATTTATCATATGCTTCTCAATAGTATGTAAATATAAAGACAGCTCACTGTATTTTGCGAGATAGAAAAGTAAATGATTAAGTGCAAATCCAAAAGTATTATCGATACAGTGAAGAAAAATAAATTTTTCATTTTTCCCTATGCAATTAACTTAGAAGCCGCATGGAAATTAGCAAGAAAGAATGCTTAGAAATAAACAAGCTTGAATTATAGAACCAAAATCCCATAGATACCTACTTTATCTATTACAAAGTTAGGGTGCTCTAATTTTTTAAACAGGGGTTGAAGGAAAAACTCCCCCCAAAAAACCTGGTTTGAGTTTTCTATTCTATTCTATGTCATGTCATTAACTTTTGAAGAATTCATTAAAAAGAAAAGAAAAATAACTCCACAACCAGATTTTCATAAGGAAAAGTAGAACAGAAAAGAGAAGATTCCAAGGCATTTCCAAAGATCCTGAACAATCAACAACCTACAGACAGTACCTTTAAAGTGGCAGTTTAAAGATCAGGGAACTCATTTCACAGAAGAAGAGGCAAGGCCACAAGCCAAGGTCCTAGGAGTCATGGATTCTCCAAAAACCCTTACTATTTCCAAGCATCAGAATGCTAACAAGATGACTGCTCATCCCTAGGTGTAGACTCTAGTCTTCTAAACAGAACCCATGTTGAGCCAGTGACAATGTACGATGTGTCTTTCACAGCTATATTGAGAGGTAGAGATCTCTTCTCCCCTTTGTTAAATGAGTGTTGACAGTCCTCAGCATTGCACATAAGGCAGGCAGAGTGGACACATACACTATTTAGTCTATGAGTTGCAAAATGGATGAGAGTCCTGGAGTTGTAAGAAACATCATTGAAAATTGTGGATTCAGACTGAAATGAATGATCCTTCGTAAGTGGCCCCATGGCTGCTTCGTAATGTACGACTTTCAGATGCTTCCTTCTGGGAAAAGAAGTGACTGTGTAGTTTTACCTGTGATGATTGTATTAGAAGAGAAGATCACTGGGATTATGTGTAAAAAATGAGTTTGGGGCTAGGCAAAGACAATTCGTGCCCCAGGATGCCTTGCTTCTCATTTTGTGCTTCTGAAGAAAGCTGACTGACCTTCTAATTTTATGAATGTGGGCATGCCTCCCAGTCCAAGCTCGGTTGAACAGTAGAAGGCCCTTGACCCAAGAAAAGTAAATCCAGCTACAATACAGCCTCACTAGGAGAGAGATAAGCTAAACCAATCAGATTCTGAAAGCAAACTATAAGAAAACAGAGCTAATGTTCATACAACAGTAGGAGCTGAAGATTTGAGGTTATTTATGATACAGAGAGAGGCTGCAAGAAGACTAGTCATATACAAGCAAAATTCCAGAGAAGTGCATCTGTAGGTTGAAGAAAGGGCAGTGTAGATATGTGGGCAAAAAGAGGGGGAGAAGAAAGAGGGAAAGGAGAAGAAAAGAAAGAAGAGCGAGAAGTACACAGAACTTCCTAGGATCATTCACTCTTCCAGTTCATATACAACCTTATGAAAAACTCCTATTTTCCTAAAGTAATTGAAATGAGTTGTTACTTGCAACCAAAAGAACCTAACAAAAGCAATGAATATCAGCAAATAAAATCTGCAAGTATGAATCTCACTGTCTTTATTCATGTAGGAAAGGCCTAAGATCTGCCCAAATCAGTTTACACAGGTCATTAGAAGAACACAGACTAATGTGAACATGTAATTTCTTATGATTAAGGTGTGTGGATAATACAATGACACCGCCCAGGTCAGAGTTTTAAATACACAGGACTTTCACTGCCTATACTAGATGCTCAGTTCACTGAGCTTTTATCATCCCCAAAGGCAAGATAAATCCAGTCAAAGATATATTAATGCAAGATAACTGTTGTACTTTACATTAGGAGAAAATCAACAAATTCAATGATATGATTCCCACAAACTCAAACCACACTAAACATGTCTTTAAAAAATAAAGGAACGAAAAGAAAAAGAAAGAATGTCTAGAAGACAAACTTTGGTGACAGACAAATAGATAGCTTAGGACCTCAGAACTGCCATTTACCCATGACTGCACAAGCTCAAGGGTCCTGCTTCTCACACAGGGCTTCTGATTCAGAGCTGAGAGGTGGCCCCAGCTCAGCTCACATCCTCTATATCTACTGCCAACTCAAACCTGAGACTACTAATAGCCCCTCTCTAGATACCATGACTCCTCTTCGGCTGCTTCCCACTGAGCCAGGCTAAGTGTTACTCTTTTCCACCAAATATGCGTATCTTATCACTGTGTCAACTATGTTGTAGGAAACTAATGGTCACTTATGGGTCTGTGTTTCCAACCAGATTCTGAGCCACTGAAGCAACCCCAACATCAAATATAGTACCTTACATATTATAGAGCTGGAAAAGCATCTTAAACTCATGGATCTAATCCTCCTTCTCTCTCCTTTTGTTCCACCTTCTTTTCCTTGCAGTTTTCCTTTTAAGAGTACTACTTAACCCCAGGGTCATGAAAGTGATGGCTGTAGCCATTCACTAGCTTTTCATTCCATTGGCTCCTCTACCTCTATGCCAAAAGCAAAATCATTACCAACTCTGTGAAGGCACAATCTATACTCCACATCTCCACTAACAGTGTTAAACAGATTTTTTGAAAACAGGGAAAGAAAAAATAAAAGGTCAAAGATAATCATATCAGTTTATATAAAACACCTAATGTAAGACCATTACCCAGGGGTCAGCAAACATAAAAGGCCACAGAGTAAATAGTTTAAACTCTGCAGATCATATGGTCTCTGATACAGCCATCCAACTCTGCTGTTACCACAGTGTGAAAGCAGTCAGAGAGAATACATAAGTGGATGGGCATAACTGTGTCTTAATACACAGTGGCTGATCTACAAACTGGAATTTGCTGACCACTGATTAAACGAGCAGAGGAGAATCGTTCTCTGAAAAACGGGAGGACGTAATGAGTATCACAGAACCACAAAGCACACAGAGCAGTCAACTGCAGAGCACCTGAATCACTGACCATGACCTCCTCTTTCAACACTGTTCCCTGGCTCCTGGGACACCACACACTGGTTTTCTTCCAACATCTCTGACCACTCTTATAGTACTCTTCACAAACTTCACTATTTGTGTTCTTTCCTAAAATGTTGTTGTTCCTCCAGGTTCTGCCTTATGCTGTCTTCTCTATGCACTCTAAATTCTCTCTTGGTGAACTCATTCATTCCTAAGACTTCAAATACCATCTATATGCTGAAAATACTTCACATCTGCAATGAATTTCCACCTGGATTAGCCACCGGCACTTCAAACTCAGCAAGTCCAAAACTGAATGAATCTAAACAGTTTCCAATCCTATGTTTCTATCGCAGTAAACAGCACTATGATACACCTAAGTCAAAGATGTAAGCTTCCTCAACTCCTCCCTATCCTTTATTCTTACAGATCCTAGTCCCTCATGATATGTACACTGCCAAGTGCTGTTCAACTCTGCTTTCTAAATCTCTCCACATCTACTCACTTCTCTTTCTCACTCATCATTGTTCTAAATCAAGACACCATAATTTCCTGCTTAGGTTTCTACTGACATCCTCCAGGCTGATGGACCAGTACGCAGGTTTCCTTCCCTCCAATTCACTTCCCACAGTATACAGCAAGAGTTACTCTTCTAAAATGCATGGAATAAATCAGTTACCGGCTGTCTCAGCCAAGCCCACACTCTGCCTTCATTGTATGATACTGGAGCTAGAAGTCTATAAACTACATTTCCCAGCCTCCCTTGCAACTGGCTTCTTATTGGATTCTGTCGATTGGAATCAATGGCAGGAGACTAGAAGGCAGACATGGAGAGAAGACACTCTGTTTTCCAGCTTCTGTCAGGCTCTACAGTAGCTAATAGCTCTAGATTCCCATGCATTTAGCGCTTTGTCTACCAGTCACAGACCCCCTTGATGGTCTGACTGAGACCATCAAGGCCAGAAGGCAATCCCTCCCTAGAGGTCCAAGCACCTCCTTATCAGTCAGCACATCAATTCTATGAATGTCCCCACTCCAGGTTTAGTTAACAACATCCCCTCCCATTTTGGCCCCCAGCCCCAAGGAAGACAGTAGCCTCTTGAAGTTACTAGTCTTTAGATTCCCTCTCCTTCCACTATTTGCTCTCTGGCCATCCAGTACCCTACATCCCCAATTCCCTATTTTCATTCATCACTATCTGAAATACTAACTTTGCATCTATTATCTCAGTGGAACCTAACTAATGCAGTACTTGTTACTAGTTGTGGCTCCTAGGAAATAAAACATTTAAAATGGAATTCTGGTGTTGACATCCTATCTCTTTAACCCTTCAAAGACCTTGCCTCCCTCCAATACATTCTCCCTACTTGGCACTCACTATGCTTCTTCTAAAATGTCTACAGCCACCTCAATAGCTCACCATTGCTATCAGGAGAGCGGTCTGATGAGGCTATCAGGATTCTAGAGCCACTATTTTTCTAACTTCTCTTCCTGACACTAATTCCTCCTCCCTCTGCCCCAAGTTTGAACCACCCTGAGCTTCCTTTCCACTATGCCTCTTTTATTCCCTTCACAAGGCTATTTCCCAACTCTTATATATCGTTCCTAAACTTCTCTGTTCACCCAGCTAATTCTAACTTTGCTTTGGTAGCACTTTCTCCAAGAAGTCTTTCCAGACTTGCATGCATCCTGAACCTCATCTATTACACAACTAAAGACATGCCTCTTATCTCTGTGTACACAGACTGTATTCCTCCCATGAAACCGTATATTCTAGGAAAGCAGGTGTCTTAATCTATTTGGGTGTCTGTAGCAAAATGTCATAGACTGAGAAGTTTATAAACAACAGAAATTGACTTCTCATAATTCTGGAGGCTAAGCAGCTCATTATCAAGGCACTAGCAGATCTGATGTCTGGTGAGGGCCCAGTTCCCGGTTCATAGATGGCATCTTCTGGCTATGTTCTCAAATGGAAGAAAGAACAAGGCAGCTCTCTAGGGATTCTTTTGTAAGGGTACTAATCACCTCCCAAAGGCCTCAGCTCTTAAAACCATCACATTAGTGACTAGTTTCAACATGTAAACTTGGGGGCAGAGACAAACATGCAGATCACAGTAGGAGATACCATGTTTGTCTTGCTCACAGTTCTAAACCCACACAGTAGCAGTTGGTAACAGTTTGTTGAATGAATGCAGAAACCCATGAGTGGAAGATATAGATTAACACCTACTAGGGAAATTTGGAAACGCTTCCTAAGGAAATATGATTGTGAAACAGACACTAGGCCCAATCTCCAACACTTTAGATAGTTTAAAGAAAATGACATTATCCTTAGTTTCTATAGACTCATAGCAAAATAGGTTAAAAAGATTTTGTTTTTTTTTTCTTTTAGGGGTATCTAAATGATTACACTTCTTGGGAATAAAACTTCTATCTTTGGAAGCATAATAATTAAACTCCCTTGGAAGATGATCAGCCCATACATTCCCCTTTTAGAGGACTAGCCTGATTTCATCTTCTAACTGTAAAATGTATGCTGAGATCCCAATAAACTTACTTTATTGCTTTCCTTTCACAAACCTCACAGACATTTTAAAAACTGTTTTAAACCAAGTATTTTACAAATCTGAACACTGTTTTCAGAACTCAGTAAGTGGAAATAAAAGTGCTTCAATGAGGTAAAAAAAATCTTCATCTCTCCATTTGTCTCTATATGTAGTTTTACTATATAAATTACAGGTATGTCTCCATATTTGGAACCCATTCTCCCCTTTACCCATTCTCTGTTCCACCCATGAGAAAACATGTGATCATTGGCTTTCTAAACCTGGCTCTTTGCTTAAGAGGATGTTCTCCAGTTCCATCCATTTACCTGCAAATGACAAAATTTCATTCTTCTTTATGGCTGAATAAAATCCCATTTCCTGGCTTTTAGAGTTTGTGCTGAGAGGTCTGAAGTGATAATCTTATATGTGTTCTTTTGCATGTAAGATGTTGTTCTCTTTCAGCTTTCACTATCCTTTCTTTGGTCTCTAGTTTTGACAGACTAATTATGACATGATGTCGAGTAGTTCTTTTCTGGTCATGTCTATTTGGAGTTCAAAATTCTTCCTGTAGATTCCTTTACCTCAAATAGTAAAGATAAAAGAAACAGCTTAGTTCTTCTATAATTTTATCATTTTGAGAGTAAAAATAGTAAGTGTACATGAATTTTACTTCTTAAAACTTAACCTTCCAAAATTTTTTTATGATGAAATAGTTTGAACACTGCCCAAAAGCTCCTAAGTTAATTTTTTTTCTAATGCTTCCTGGTCATTTACTAGTAGACATTTTTTGCTGTGTAAACACTGTAACATTTTGTAGTTCAAAGGTTTTAGTCTTAGGAATTTTGGTTAATCATTTAATTTTCCCTTGATCTTTTGGTAGCAACAATATGTCTAGCAGAATATTGGAGAGAAAAACCAATCATATCCTCCCTACTTATTTTCAGGTAATTACATTAATAAATCCCTGTCATGAGGTTAAAATGGTGATGTAGCACCAAAGGATGAATCATTCTCCAAAGTTATTTAGATTTTTAAAGCAGAAAAGTGTTGCCACGTTCTCTTGTTGCACCTTGTTTTTTGACTTTGACAATGGCTCAAGTGCCTGCTCCCTGCCTTCCTTCCCTACACCAAATTCCGTGGTTGAGTTGCAAATGTCAACCTAAGTGAAATTCCTACACCTGAATCCCTTGGCCACGTTTTCCTCTGCTACATCTCAAGAAACTCCCTCAAAGCAATACCCCAAACACGCTGAGTTTCAGTTAAGTCTCGACCATCTCACTCTTGAGAGGGAGTTTGAAAAGGGGTGGGTGGGGTGAGGGGAGAAGAGAGTAGCAGAAACCTACCTCCCAAGTGTACAGACACAAGAATGGGCACACAGTCTTGCTGGGAAATAACAGCTAAGAGAGTGAAAAAAAAAAAAAGGTAAGGCTCTTGTGTCAATCTGTGTCAGAATCACAGTTCTGACAACTGTTAATCTTTGATCTTAGTCTCAGTATTTGTCTCTTTGTGCCTGCCTCAGTTCCCTCATCTGTACAGGACTAATAATGTCAACACCTACCTCATGAAATTGTCATGAGGTTGAAATGTGATTAAGTCACACAAAATGTTTAGAACAGCATCCATGGTATGCACTCAACAATTGTTACTTGTTATAACTCTTCATCCTAAAAAGGTCCGTGTATGCACACAAACTAAAGAAAAGTGGGAAATCAGTAAGAAACAGAAGAGATATGAAAGAATTAAAATGTCAAGAAGCTAGGCATAAAGTAAAGAAAACCACTTTCAGTGCACTGAGAAACCACCTTGAATATGGCTGCTCAGCAGAACCTTAAGAAGGGAGGAAATTAGGCCAAAATGGAGACAAATGTAAAGGTGAAGGAAGTATTGTCATCAAAATAGCATTTGATATCTTCAGACCTGAAAGGACTGTCCTGCTCTACAAGGTCATGGTTATCCACTGGTGTACCCCCAAAACCCTGTGGCCACCACAGAGCCCCTGCAGGAAGCTTTCTGCCGATGAGTAGGGGATAATTGCTGCACCACCTTCCACACAATGGAACCACACCTGTTAACTGCAAGAACTCAAGTACTGTAGCTCCACATTTATCTGTTTGGTTTTCTCCCAATGCTGAGCATAATTTCCTCTAGGTAAAAGGTTCTAAAAAAAAAGGGAAAAATAAAAGCATATGAGGCCACTAATCTAACCCAACATCTCATTTTCAGATTAAAAACTGAGTCCCAGAAAAGTGAGATGACTTTGTCAAAGTCTACATAGCATATATTTGTCAGAGGAAAGGACCAATTTTCTGATTCACAGGCCAGAGCCCTATCCTCTCTTCTCAGCATGCTTGGTCCTCACCATCTTCACCATTACTCACATATACAGGCACTCAAATACTGCAACTTTCTGTACTTACCAAATTCAAACTCAACACCACCATCCAGGCTTTTACTCTCATGCTCCCACTTACTATCAAAACCCAAATCTCTTCAGAGTCTGTTCAAACACCTTCTGTGGTTGCTTTCTTATTCTCTTTCACACCCAGTTCCTCCTGTCCCCACCTAGTCAAGCTGTTAATACCACTGCAAATAAAAGAAAAAAATGTTCCTTGTTGCTGTAGGAATTTCAGTTCAAGTTAACCAAAGGGAAAAAAGCAAATGCTCATTCAACCAAGTTATATGTTACTACAGAGTGACTACTGTTTGAGGAGACTGTGACCTCGTTACAGGATTCTGAAAAATAAACAAAACTCAGCTACTTTAGTCCATGTGTTAAGATTCACAGATTTGTACACATCAATCTAAATTTACTGAACATCTTCTGCAGCTGTGGCAAACACTGAAGATAGAAGCATCGCTAAGATCCAGCCCCTGAACTCAAATAGTTTCCTTTTTTGTTGTTTAATAGAAAACTCTTCTGGGGTAATACTGATTTACCATATATAAAAACTTCATAAAAAGTGTTTAAAATCCCAATATTCTGCCTTTAACAGTTAAAAGATAAAATGTTCATTTCCAAAAACATATTGTCCATGGAATAAAGTGCAGAAAGTTTTTGCTCTTGGGTACATACAATCCTTGCTCTCACACCAGTGAATATATGCCTCTTCATGTTAATTATTGTTTGAAAGACAGGGTTTGGTTTTTTAAATCATTAATATACTACTTAATTTGTATAGTCAGAATGCCCCACGTGTATGCCTCATTCTTAACGTGGTGTGTTGGAGGGTAAGGCAGAGACCTGAGGTCTCTGCACTCCAACCAGCACAGTAACTAATCACTCAAGTAAATCCTTGAAAAGGTGCTAGTTACCAAAGGCAGAGGTAAAGAGACAGACGTTCAAGTATTTTGTTGTGACAGGAGAGAAAAAGAACCTCTGCTCTCAGATTCTTCTTGTGGTTATCAATAGACCATGAACTGTCATGACCTATTCCCTTTCAACCACACCTGAGTTTATGCTAATAAGGTGACTTTCACTGCTTCATGATGGGTCGAATCACAGAAAGACCAAGGCATGACTAGAGGGCTGGAACTTTCAGCTCTGTGCCCAGGTATTCTTTGTTTCTGTTACTATGTTTTTGATTTCTAGCAGTTTTCCTTCCACTTGTTCTTAAGAGTTTCCATCTCAACTCATACTACCCATCTGTTCTTGCATGTTGTCTACTTTTTCCATTACAGCCCTTGTAGATCATAATTCTTTGAAATTCCTCATCCCATAATTCCAACATCTGTATCACATCAGAATCTGGTTTCTTATTTCTTTGTCTCTTCTGTTTTTTGTTGCTGTTCAGTATATCTTATAATTTTTTTGGTGAGTGTTGGACATGCATCGGTTAATAAGCATAAGGTAAATAGATCTCTAGTGTGATAACTTTTTATTTTTCCATCATAGTGACTATAATGAAAGCAGAACACAGCATTATTGTTTACAATAAATCATTTTCTTGTACTTATTCATCATTACTGTTTGTTCAAAAATGCCCCTTCTGTAGGTCTCTGGTCTGACATGTACTTGCAGAGTCAATAGGCAAGTTTCTCAGGTCACCATTTAAAACAACATCATTTAGGCCACTAGGAAAGGTAGACTCATGCCATTTAGCACGGTTAGAGAAAGCGCCAATAATCTGTGTTCATAATAAACAAGGCGCTTTTCTTATAACCCTGTAACACATTGATGTTTCAAGAGGACTTCTCTAAAACGATTTCCTGAAAGTAGATGAGGCTATACACCAACGCATCATTTAGTACAGTGATTTGAGATGCAGGGAAAATTTAACGCTTGCACAATTAATCATCACAAACTACTTTGAAAAGAGAGAATTACCTACCTGTTTTCAACACAAATGCTTATACTTTCTTGGAGCCAATTTATGACAGAGAATCCCATATTATGGAATTCATATAGCTTTCTAAATAGCGTGAAAGAAACAGTCATTTCCCTGTCATCACAAACCTAGTTCAAGTTAAGCAACAAGTCAGTACCAAAATGTTTGTATCACAGATTCTTAAATGTAAAGGTCAAAGAATCAAAGATGTGAAGATGATCTTTCATTTCACCGACTTTTGACAAAAGAACCTTAAGCTGACAAAAGAGGCAGGAAGAACAAGATCAGAGGAAAAGGTCTGACCCTTTATTTCAGTCATCTCTCAGCCGGGGAAGGGAAGACAGCTGTTGAGCCCAAAAATGAAGGAACATGTGGATGACAGTGCTGCTGCTGCTGCACTAAGAAACAGAGATGCTGATGAAAACGCTACTTACAAAGGAAGAGTGGCAGGTCCTCCTACACATAGCTTCTCTCCTAGCCCTCCGTGTCTTAAGTCCTGTTAGGTCACCACTCTGTTCCACTATCACTATTAAAATACGCTTTTAGGAAGGAACATAACAAGTCCCCAAGGGAAGAATTTCAGCTGTAATTTTATTAGGGAAACAAGCCTAACTATGTATGTGCATAAGTCCCTTTTTGGAGAACTCTCTGGAACCTTCAGTGAGTCAAGCAGGACCTAAAATACAAACAAGTCACCAGGCAGGAAGATAAATTCTTTGTTTTTTTATTAGACTGAACATAGTACATGTAACATGAAAAGATTCCTTTAAAGCCAGGACCTCACACATGCAAGCACTCTACCATTTGAGCCATGTCCCAGTTCTTCCGTTTTTATTTTGTTTTTGAGAGAAGAGCTCTCTAACTTTGTCAGGACTGGAAAAGTTGTAATTCTCCTGCCTCCGCCTCCCTCAAGTTAGCTGGCATTACAGTAACGCAACACCACACCCAGCTCATGAGATGATTCTTTTACCAATAAAAGCAAAGGAATGTGGTCCAGTACCATTCACCAGACATGAGCTATAGAACTATATGGTGGACCAGTTCAAGACATCCTACTACATTCACACAGAAACCTTCAGCACTCCATCACTTTTTCTCCTTAAACCTCACGCTGGGTGACTCCTGTTACTAGCTAAAGCCAAAGTAGTGTCACAAAAGGTAAACAACAAGATGAAATATCACATGATCAACAGCAACACAATGGTATAAGGAAGTAACACGGAAGTTAACTTTCCACATAGGAAGAACAATTCACCAAGCATGAAACTCAAGAAGTTCTACCGGTGTAAGAAATATAAGTAATCCATTATTCACCAAACACTGACTGAGCCATACATGATATAAAAAGAGTACTGTGTTATGCTTAGAGTAAGGGACTAGTGAAATGAGCGCAAAGACAGCTGAGGTCTGGTGCCAACCTCAGGGGATAAGTATATCATCCTAGGAGGAAAACAGACAAGTGACAGTAATAACCCAATTGATGTAATGATAAAAACTGGTAAGTGCCTAGAAAAGAAGAAAATGGTTGACATTTGAATTCAACTTGCAATACACTGATAAACGAAATGAAAGGAGCCATTGAATCTGCTGAAACTCACAGCTAAAACACAGCTGAACAGGATTTTCTGACTATTCCCCTTATCTCACAGTACTCAGTTGTTCCTCAGAAAAGTAACAATTGTGATTCTTTTACTATGGGTCCAGCTCAACAGAATTTAAGAAGAAAAGGGCACGCAATCAACTTGCTCTGGACAATGCCATACCTGCTAAGCGGTCCATGTGGGAAGGGAAGGCAATACTAAGTAGAGTTGTGTAGTGGTCTTGGTAAACCTGATTGGGTTAGGAATAAAAGAGAAACAGCACCTGAAGCTAAAACAGCTCTCAACTCTTGACAAAATTTCAATTTCAACTGAGTATCTTTGCGAACAGAATCCATGTTTTTTTCATTATTCCCAATATCACCGAGCATAAGGCAGGCACTAAGATAATTGAGGAAAAGAGGAGGAAAATGTGAAGCACCAGTTCATACTCCATAGATTTACCCTAAGCCTGTGAGTGAAGGACTGAGTACAGAAGCACAGATATCTATAAATGGTGAGTGTAGTACACACACAGTCTAAGCCTACAAGGACAGTAACCACCCTCAACCAAGAGCCCTGTCTGTCATTCAGGTGGAAACAACTAGATCAGGTAACCTGACAAAGTAAGACTAAGGTACTGAAACCTCAGGATTTGCCTCTCTGCCCACACATAGCTATAGTATTAGTTAGGAAAAACTAGTCACTGCTGAAATTAACCCAGAAATGTCTAATAGCTCAAACACCTTTGTTTCTTGTTCCTCTTCCTATGCTAAACCCTGGATTCAGTCTGACAGGCTCCCTATCTTCACCATGGTCACGCTCTTGACTAGAACTCAGTCACAGGGCTGCACCTATCCACAAAGAAAGCTACAAATGCATTCGTGCTGTCAGCTCAGGAAGAGGAAAACATGGATTTTGGTGGGAAGTAAATATCCTCTGCCACTGTACTTTATGACTTTTCCTTCCCCTTCCAAGCTTTCCCTTGCCCTGTCTCTGTGTGTATATGAACATAGATGCAAAAATATATAATATACTTGTGCACAGTAAACTGATCCCATCTACATAATAAATGCCAGGAATCTTCCCACAAATATGAATAATGCTCTACTTCTGAAGGAACGGGAATCACCTGGAATTAGGGCCCAGAAGAAGGAGCTTATGAAGAAACTCTGCTTCAAGTCGGGAACAAATTCTTCTGCATCCACGCTCTCCTTAAGGCCCTAACAGCACCCACCCACACAATAGACTCATATGAGGAGTTCAGGTCCCAGCTGGCAAGTATAATCCCCTTCATACAAGCAGCAAAATGCTAAGTGTTGTCTTGAGGCCTTCAGTGATTCCATTTTCTGCCCGAGAACCTTCAAGCCTTAAACTTGAACTTAAACACTTTCCAACAGTAGAAGGTGACTTTCTTCGCAAAGCAATTGTTCACACAGAAAGCCTATTTCACCTCAAAGGCATTTTATATATTAAACAATGAGTGGAAAAAACACTGACCTCAAATGTGGATACCAGTCAACTTGCTAAATGTACTCCTAGATTAGTTACCCTGCATCAGCCTTCCGAAGTGTCTGACTCAAAATCATGCCTCAGCAAAACAAGAAATCAGCCTTTGTCACAGGCTTTCAGAGGCCACCTCAAATGTTAAACCACTTGAGTGGAAATGGTCTATTCTATGCATATACCAGACCACATGACCCTTTGGCAAGGTACCATGTGAATTCTCCACAACACCTTGCATCCCTCATCATTTAGTAAACACGTGCTGAATGAACAGTCATTTGATTTTTTTATTCATCATTAGTAACTCCTCTGCCTGTGTATACATGAGCACTGTCAGTCTTTAGGCCAAATACTTAGCTGTGTGACTTACTCTGTATACAACTTTGCTAATAAAAGGGTGTGGAGAATTGCTTTCTGACTGTGATTGGGGCAATAGCAGTGGTGACTATGATGGCACCATCAGCCATGATATGTAAAGGACTGTGACATTTCATGCCTGTGGGGCCAGTCACTATCATAAGTATTTTGAGAGCCCAGGAACTAACATCTAGGGAGATCTCACAGACAAGCCACTTTTAAAACAGAGCTTCTAAAAATCCAAGTTAATTGTCCTATAAATTGAAAATGGACAGAATCTCAGTACACTTTTGATAGCTTTTCACTGAACAAGACACACACATGCAGGCCTGGCTTCTGTTTCTCTCCACAGTTCTGCGCAGGGCTGAGCCTACACCATAACCCTGTGCATAAAGCCAGACAGGAAGATGGGAAATTCCTTTACATCAGACTTAAATCCGCCTGAGTTCCATATGAACAAACTTGCCATACTTTAGACCCAGCTGTATACACAGGAAGCAGCCAGAATATGTTTAAATAAAAAAGTATAGTTCAAGTTAAACTTCAGCCTTCCAAAGACAGCCATGCACCTGGTAAGATAAATTACTTTAGGCTGTTAAGGAATTGCTGGATGTTATAATTCAACAAGCTGTTGCTTGATGAAGCTCTATCTGTGTCTTATTTAGTTTCTGGCATATGGAGAAGAGTGTCTATTGCCAACGATGATTCCTATTCATTCACTCCTCTGTTGACTCTCAAAGAGTAATTAAATAATACTCCCAAAGTAATGTAAAACTACCAATTTGAAAATATATTACACAAAAGACATTGTTCACATCAAAAGTCTTTATACACCCAGAACATTTTACATCCTAAAAATTTTGAGAATAGCATCTAACAATTCATAGAAGAATGGCTGTTTTTAAATCCCAAAAAGAAGAGTTGTTCTAACATCGTCCACCATTCTTGTCACACTTTTCACCAAGACATTCTTCAAATAAATGCTCAAAAGGTTTGTTTCAAGTTTTATTAGTTACCTACCCTACCCAAAGCACCTGACTCAAGCACCGAACTCAGGAAGTGCTTGTTATGTGCTAAATCCAGAGATGACTTGGAGAATTCCAAGATATAACTTTTATCAGGAGTTCCTAAATTCATTAGCAAAATAAAAATAATGACTGGATAATAACTAAGATCATTTATAGTTAATTTGTACTGTTTGACTTCAGTAGTCTCAGACAACTTTAAAAGCATATTATAAGACATCAAATTAAGGCAGCAATTAAAAAATGAAATTTCAGAGTAGTTCTTTTTTCTTTTCTTTATTTTTTTTTTTTTGATGGTTTGAACTCAGTGCCTCATGATTGCTAAGCAGGCACTCTACCACTTGAGCCACTCCACTTTTTTTGTGTTATGTATTTTCAAGCTGGCTTCAAAGTACAATCCTCCTGTTCTCTACCTCTTCAGTAGCAAGGATTACAGGTGTGAGCCACTGGGTGCCTGGCTCAAAATAGTTTGATAAGTTGAAAATTCTTATCACTTCAAATATTTTATGTCCTAAAACATAAACATAGTATGTCAGACCTAATTTCATTTCCTTGGGACTTTTTCATCTTATTCTCATTTGAAGATTACCTGGTTCTTTGCATTTTCCTACTTGCCTCTCAAAGCTAGAAAGAAAAAAATTACCAAATTTTACAAAACTATCCAATAAATAATATATACTTCCTTTCCATCCCTAAGGCCCAAAATATTGGGTTACACAGGCTCATTCAGCATAATCAAATGCCCAGAAACTCTCACCACCCCCCTCAGTGACACAGCTAGTGTCCAGCCTAATCCAGCTGAGGAACAGGGTATATTCTTCAACAACTCACTGTCTTGGTGCTGACTCTCTCGTAAGAGTGCAGATTTCTAGTTCGACTGGTTTGTTACTAGACTTCAAACACCAAGGTAGGCTCTTCATGCAAACTGAGACCACACACACACACACACACACACACACACAAAACTTACATTTAGAATCAAGCCAAAACATCACAAATTTATACAGGACATGTTGCCAAATTTTCAACAATAATGACTTCTACTGTATGAACTGTAAATCATTCAGTACCATTATTTATCTTTTCTAGAAAGGGTGGTACTCTCCAGAGACATGCTATTCTGATAGCTTTTTCGAAACATAATTCATATATCATAAAATTCAGCCATTTAAAGTGTATGATCCAATGGTGTTTAGTATGTTCACAGACTTGCCCAGCCATCACCACAGTTAATTTGAGAAAGAAACTCCATGAGCATAGTCCATCATTCCCAATTTCTCCCCATATCCCTAGTCCCACGGGAGAACCACGCTGTTAACTCAGAAACGCATGAAAGATACCAGACTGTTCCCAACAGTAACTTAGTGAGGTTTGGGGGAAAGGGAAATGGTCTTTAGAGTTTTGAAAGTGTATTTGGAGATTCTGACGTAGCTTCATTCCCTCTTGGGAATCGTAGCTATAATGTATTCCACCTCCAGACACATTCCTGGAATTCTGGGTTCTCAACATAGGGACTCTTAGCCAAGGCAGTTGTCACGAAGAGTTGTTAAATTATGGCTCATTTTATGATGGATTCTCCCACTTGCAAACAGACTTATGGAATACTCTAAAATTGTCTCTAATTAGACACACAGCAAGAACAAAAATAATCTGGCCCTCATTTCTACTTCAATAAAACTTCTTCTCCAGGAAACCTATTCGGGCCATTAAAATTAGTTCCAATTTCTACTTGCCAAGCCTTTATATCCTTTGCTTTTAAGAGAAAGATGAGAAGTGAGCAAAACACAAATTTGAAATCTGAATTCAAATTTCCTTGGGCTACTTCATACTTACGTAAGTGTGGAATAAATTAAGAAATGTTTCACATATATTTAAAACATGTTTTTATAAAGCATTCACCCAGCCTTATAATTAGGACTGCACTTCATGGAAAACTCCACACATAAAGTACCTTTCCTCCAGCTCTTCTTATGAAGAAGCAGAACTTTCTGAACAGGAAACCAAAATGTACAAAGGCGGGGCCATTTTCCTTGGTAACAGCAGAGACCCAAATTCCTGGCATTCCCCAGTCATAAGTTCAAGGCACCCATCATTCATGTTTGCCATGTGGACATGGGCCTGTTCAATAGTTTAGCATGAAACTTACATATACACACACATATCAATATAGCTCATATGTTTACATACAGAGATCATACGTATGTGTATATATGATATTATATGTCAAAGTGCCAAATATTAAATAAAACTTTGACAAGACCTGTGGTGGTGACACAGAGTTTCATGGCCCATCCCCATAAAAGATCACCTTCTGCTTTATTTCTCACTTTCAGGTATTCCAACACTAAATTTAGCAAAGTTAACGAGATGACTTGCTACAAAAGCCCAGGCAACTGACATCTCAAATATAGAAATCTAAATGCAACAGGCCACCTAAAACAGGTATTTTGATCATTTCACTATGACAGATTTAACAATTGAGGTTCTATTGGAAAGTGAATTTACTGATCAATTAAAAAACGAATTATCATTTAAAACCTTTCTGACAAAGAAATCTGTATTCCAGTATGTGCCCTACAATATTTGACAATCTGCTTTTTCACCCCCGCCTGACCCACAAAGTAATGAGGAAGCACCCCAATGGTGGTATGGGCTCTGATCCAAGTTCCTATAAAATATGACAGTTTTCCAGATGGCACCTGAGGCTATCAGGTACAGTCACATATTTCTTACATTAGAAAAATACTCAAGGACATTACATAAGATGGTGCCTCTCTCCTATATGCACTAACTTTAAAAAGCTACTGCTAGCCACTCTGGAAGCACACCTTCTGTTCTTAGGATGGAAACTCTCCCACATACCTGGGAAATATGAGTTAATGTTGTCTATTAGCCAAGACAAGCAGCAGTTACTGGGAAAGGTGATGAAATGGCAAGTTACTGAATTTAGCTCAAGAAAACAAGACAAAGATTCCTCTAAGGCTCCAGAGGTTGCAAAAACCAGTGGTTTAAATGTTTGTATTTTGGAGATTTGTATGGTATTCAGTAATGGAAAAATGAGAATCCAAGGCTTAAAGCACCACTACTTAGCTTTCAAATTTTCTGAATGTTTTCTTGCAGGATTTTGTTCAATTATACATTTGAGCAATCGACTGGATCTTAGATTAGGGAATTATTGAAAAACACATGAGCCATTACCGAATTCCACAGTGAAGGCAGGCCCTCCTCTGGATGACTGAAATTTTCAGAAGTTAACACACTAATGAATTACAACTGCATTCCAAGTTTCCCTGCTGTGACTGGGAAAACAACGTGTTCAGGACATTGCTTTTTAATCATACCATGAGGCTAGACCAAACACTCATCCTGACTCTATACTTCTGTTTTTGAAGGACATTCCATTTGAGAAAAAGAGCATCTAATTTTACTTGGTAGCCCATAAAATGTTTGTGTCTGGCACAGTGGACAGTGTTTACAGCTTCTAAGCGTTAATTAATCATATACTTTTGGACCACAGTGATTCTGTTTTATGAGTGATTCTGTCTATGCATAAACATCTAGCTTCAAATTCTGGTTTTCTGCTTATTAGCTGTAGGACATGAAACAAATCTCTCTCTCTCTCTGTCTCTCTCTCTCTCTCACACACACACACACATACCCCACTCATTACATATATGTGGCAAGAAATGCAAAAGATAAGCCTACAACAGTAGTTCTCAAATTTTTTGGTCTTAAAACCCTTTTGTAGGCTTAGAAATTACTCAAGAATTCAAAGAGCTTACTTTAGAAAATTCTGAAAAACACAAGAACACACATGCACACATTCTAATAGCCAACACACTGTCCCTACAAAAACTCTTACATGGGTATGTGAGATGAAGTAAATGAGGTAAGTTATGTTTTTTTTTATTGTGAAAAGTTTTTTACCTCCCAGACCCCCTAATAAGATCTTGGAGATCTCTAGGTATTCTCAAACCACACTTTTGAGAACCAGTGGCCTAGCATACTGAAAGCAGGAAGGCTGTCAAAGACTATTAGGGTTATATTAAAAAAAAAAAATCAAGAAGCCAACACAAAGAGGACAAAATGGGACAATTTTAGTTTCAATAAGGATAAATGCAAGGGATTGAAATACCAATATATTAAAATCTATGAGTTCTTAATGAGTTACCTCTCCTCTACTCCCCAGTTGGTTATCTTTGAATGAATGGAAAAGAACCTACTATTTTGAAAACTGGTAAATAAAGGAAAAGAATCAAGCTTTTCTTGCCATTCCTATATAAACTGTACCTCAGGATATCAAATGAGCTGATTAGCAGTTTTTCTTTGTAGAATTAGACTAGGTAATAAATGAAAAAAAAGATTGACATGAAAAAAATATTTTGAAACCCCTAATGAACTGATAGATTTAGGCAGCAACAATTACCATAAGCTGTCAATATTCATTCTCTGTTCTCACTCCCTCTCTCTCCCTCCTTCCTTCCTCCTTTCCCAAACCCTCCTCACACAGGAAACTGATGTTAGTGCCTCCTGAGGGCAACAAAAAACTACTGATATAGTATTCTTGACAAAAAAAATTGAAATAGAATTTGATCTTGCCTCAGAAAATAATTAACAGTTCACAACAAATACAGAAGGCTAAAGGGATATGTTAAACAGAGCACTTAACTCCAGGGATGTAATGAGCAAAATCCAGAATCTGAGGAACTTTGCATAATAAACGGTCTGGTTTAGGGAAAAAAATCATAAGGATAAGATAGTAAAAGATGAATTGATAGATTGCAAGGGACCCAAAAGGCATGTCAACCAATTGCAATGTATGTGTAAAAGATACTTACACTAGCCAAGCATCAGTGACTCACGTCTGTAATCCTAGCTACTCAGGAGGCAAAGATCAGGGGGATCTCGGTTCTAAGCCAGCCAGGGCAAAGAGTTCACAAGACCCTATCTCAAAAAAAAAAAAAAAAAATCACAAAAAAGGGCTGGTGAATTGGCTCAAGGTGTAGGCCCTGAGTCCAAACCCCAGTACTGAAAAAAACAAAAAAGAAAACCCTGATACTTAAACTGCTTTTACTGAAAAGCACTGACTCCTAACCTGGGCCCATGAATTAACTAATGCAGGAGAAACGCTTGGCATCCCTACTTCCATTTGTATATCCGTCTTTGAGCCATTCTCTCCTGCAGATGGACTTCAAGAAGGACAGAACCGACTGATAACAAATTTAGGACAAGGGACCAAAACTATTCCTAAGCAGCCTCCTAGAACAAACCAACACCAAAATGAGAG